GAATAAGTTTTTTTTTTTACCCCATTCTGATGTGAATCTAGGAATATTAGAGGTTACATTGCCGTGTGCTACTTATTTTAATTTTTTGGTTGCTGTTGCTACTCTGTTACAAATTGGAAATGTAATAATGATATTTTGTTGTGGTATGGCTCTAAAAAGCACAAGTTTTAATGAAAAAGGCAGAGGAAGCAGCCACATGAATACTACAGACAAAACAGTTAAGTCTTTGTTTTGCTGTTTTAACACAGCAAAGGTGTGTGTGTGTGTGTTAAAGAGGGAGGGAAATGTATGCTACGCAGCAGCAACGAGACAYTAAGAGATTGGCTTTCTGGCAAGAGACAGACAGACGCCTATGGGTGCACAACCCACCCACCTCGTTCCAAAGGTTGCAGATCTACCTGTGGAAATCACTTGCTGCAGATAATGGCAGCCTGTGTGTTGCTGAGAGAGGTGAGTGTGTGGGATTGATTTCCAGACAGCATAGTTCTTTACCTGTACGCAGCACACACAAGCCAGGACTCTTGGATTTTAGACGCTGTGGAATAAAATGAGCTCAGCGTTACYGTGCTGCTGCTAATCTGAAAACACTTTGCTGCTGCCCAATTAAGAGAGCAACAACCATTAAATCAGATGGGCAGGAACATGATATTTGCAGACCTTTTAGTGCCAGAACAACTTGGATCAAMTTTAGGATTCATTTTTATCCACATGATCTCAATGGTGCCAAATGCTCTGTTTCTTTTTATGTATTAAAATTACAAAAGAAGTTGACTTTGACTCTTTGAAGGATTGCAAGCAACAACATGGAGTTTTATAACATTTGAACCATTTTAAGAAAATAAGTACCCAATTTACCAGTTTTTGTTATAAGATTAGTTAGGGAACTATCTTTTTATTCAAATAAAATAACTGACTGTGCTGGGGAAGAAAAAGCAAAATGGAATTAAGTAAAATATTCTAATGCATTTTGGCACAATTTCAAACCTATAAATCCAAGTCAAAACAATTTCTATAAACTGACGTCTAATCTTACAAACTTCATGGAAATAAAAGATAAACTACTGGTGCAAAAAGCTTGAGCAAACCTTGTGATTTTGTCATTTTGATGCAAGCACACACCAGTTGACTTTAGAAAAACTGYAATTAATCTAAACGTAATCTTTTGCTGTAGTCTAAAGTTAACATTTTATATTTGCACCATTTAGCACAACATCTGCAAGGTGGGTAAAACTTGAACATTTTAGAATTTTCTTTTCAAAAGGCACTAATGCAGCTATACTACACTGATATCAACTTTGTAATACACTGCCTGGCCAAAAACAAGTGTCCACCTGGATTTAGTGCTATGATGTTGTGTTGCTGCAGCTGGTCAGGTCTAGGTTCAGCACCAGTTTGTGCTCAAAGAATGAGGTCAGCTGACCTGAATAAACTGAATGAGCAGGTTATTCCATCAATGGATTGTTTCTTCTCTGATGGCACAGCCATGTTCCAAGATGACAATGCCAGGATTCATTGGGCTCTTATTGTGAAAGAGTGGTTCAGAGAGCATGAGACATCATTTTCACACATGRATTGGCTCCACAGAGTCCATTGAGAATCTTTGGGATGTGCTGGAGAAGATCAGACATCATCAATGCAAGATTTTGGTGAAAAATCAATGCAACCGTGGATGGAAATAAATCTTGTGATGTTGCAGAAACTTAKTGAAACAATGCCACAGTGAGGGGGTCCAACAAAATTTTAGAGTGTGAACTTTATTTTTGGTGGTGACTTGTTTTTTTTTCCTGGCCAGGCAGTGTGTTACATAAGTTGAAATTGATACCTACAATTTGATGTGTAAAATAAGAACCAAGAGCAAAAGAACTGTTGCAGCTGCCGCCGTTATCATTATGCCACTTATTATGATCACCACCTGTGTCTGTCGCTCCCTGGCTGCCAAGTTAAAGACAGGCAGACAGAAAATAAGGCTCAAACAGTTGCCGCGCGAAAACTATAAGATTCTAAAAACTAAATTTCTGATGGTCAAAGATAAGTAAAAAAAAACATTAACCTCTAGTTTTGAGCAGACAGTTGTGAGCTAAAGCATGCTTAAAGGCTGGGGAAGCTTGGTTGTGCTCTCTGTCTGCAGTCTGAGGGGATATGAGAGAAAGCTGAGACACACTGGATCAAAGATTTCATCATTTGTATTTGTCATTTCCATCTTTTCAGTTCTAACTTTAGGGAAATACATGTAGTTAAAATTACCGGTGAACATTCTTGAGATAAAAAAAACCTGTAAAATCATAAAATGTAATCAGTGATTGAATAAAAAACACAAACTTTATTTCTGCTGTGAAGAACAGTGGGCTTTTTCCTCTCACGATTTACACCAAAATCCCATTCATCTTTATTGTTTTTTTATTTGCACATGTTACATGTTTTTTTTTCAAGGATGCATTTCTTTTGAGCAGAATAAGAGTAAGAGTGTTTCGACACTTTTAGCCTAAATAACAGTAAAAGATTGGCAGCACAAATCCTACATGTTTATTTACAAGAACATCTTCTTCCCTCCTGCTCAAAAACACCTCAGCTTGTTGAATCTCAGCTCTGTCCTCTTCACGACCACAGTTGCTCACAATGCCACCACTGACATTATTAAACACATATCTTGGTATCTATCTAAGGGGAGTTTGCCAACAGGAGAAGTTACTCGATCCAGGCCTGTCTGCTTTAACCACAGGCGACTGTGGACGTGACAGGCTGATGTCTGTTCACATAAAAGAGCTTTTGTTTGAGGAAAAGGCAGCCATCCAGAAAAGAGAGGTGCGCTAATCTCTTTTTTCCCCCTTCCTTCTACTTCTTCATCATTATGGTTTTTCAGAAGCAGGTGAAGGAAAGTTGAACAGAGATGTGCAAAGAGCAGAACATGAAGTTTTTTTTGCCTGCTGAAGTTGCATCACTGTTTCACTAAACGTTGGCCACATTTCTCCTACATCCTTCTACCTCTAAAGGTTGAATTCAGTCCATCTGTATTCCTGTGCTCAAACCTCCAGAGTGAAACATTTAATGCCGCTGCCAAATAAGAACAATCAACAACAGCAACGCTTTAATGAGGGGCAAAGAAAACACGATTTAAAAATGCATTATTTATCGCTTAATTACATGTAAAGTAATTAAAATAGGATTGTGATTTCTTTTTAGTTGCAACAATAAGGAAATATAAAACAATAAGTGGAGCAAATGAGCTATTTTGCTGTCATTTAACCCTGATGTTTACTCAATCAGTAAATGGATTTAAAACCATTTAAGCTCTTTGAATTAATTGAAGTGTTCAAAATAAGGCGTTTTTGAAATGTTTTTAAAAATGAAGCCGTTAATCTGAAACATTGCAGAGGAGAACTATTTTTACATTCATAGTTAAAAGATTTAAATAATGAAAATACAAGAAATTTTAACAGCTGTGTAGATTATTATTACAATTAGGGAAATTATCATTTGGCCTATTTAAAACATCCTTACTTATGAGATATTAATATTTGGGGGGAAAGCAGTGAGGAACAGGTCAAGTATTTATGCATCATTTGACTTTTTTTTTATTCACAAATTTCACGACACTTCACAAGATGCAAAATCCTCATTTCTGATCTAYACAACACAATAATGTATATTTGACTCATCTCTGAAGAGGTTTTGGCCTTTTTAATTATTCTGGACTTCCTTTTAATTACAATCTAATTACAGATTATCTATTTGTCTATATTCCAAGACAAAGAGGGGCTCAAACCGATCTGAGAGCAGTAGTTTGGAAAGTCTCCACAGCATCCTCCGACCTCCGAGTGTGCGCACTTGGATAAAAGGTGTCCCGCTGACGCCTTGGAAGGGGCGCACTCCTCTGGGCACGCGCTGAATGTGGCGGCGCACGGTATTTGGTGCGAGTAAAAGTAGCTGGCCTGTCCGGAGAGCATGTTAAAGGGGTCGGACAGCGGCAGGGCGCACGCGGGKATGGATGGAGAGAAGGCGGCGGCGGCGGCGGCGCAGGACGCGCCGATCTGATGGCGGCGCGTCTGCGCGCAGCTTACTTCGATGTAGGACATCTCCTGGCGCGTGTGCACGAGCCGCTCCGCCTCTGCTGCTGCTGCTGCGCTCAGCCGGGCTCGCTGCGAGACCACCGAGGCAGCGTGGTTGGAGAAGCGAGGCTGGGCGCTCAGGTAAGCCCCCGCGCCCAGGTGCTGCGTGCGCACCGGAGGTTGGAGAGGCAGGAACGGCGGCACCGGCCAGTAAAACGAGCTCGCCCCGGCTAAGGTCACGCTGGCGTTGGCGGGCATCAGACGACCCCCTCCCCTCTTCAGACCGAGTTTGGTCCTGGAGCTGGCGGCGGAGGCTCTGCGCCGCAGCTTCCCGGAGGTGCCGCCTATGAAGACATCATCACTGCAGGGGTCCAGCATCCAGTAGTTGCCCTTCCCCGGGTCGTCGTAGTGGCGCGGCACCTTCACGAAACACTTGTTCAGACTCAGGTTGTGCCTGATGGAGTTCTGCCAGCCTTGCCTGTTCTGRCGGTAGTAGGGGAAGTTGCTCATGATGAACTCGTAGATGCCGTTGAGTGTGAGCCTGCGCTCCGGACTCTGGCGGATCGCCATCATGATGAGCGCGTTGTAACTAAAAGGAGGCTTCTCGGCTTTGACGCCTTCCTCTGCTGCTCCCCCTGTTTTCTTCGATGCTCCCCTGTTCTCCTCCAATCTGGCGGCCTGCTTTGAGTTGCCGAACTTCTCCTCCGGACCGGCTTTCTCCTGGGCGAAGGCGGAGGAGGAGGAGGAGCAGCAGCGCGCTTTGCGGGACGGAGAAGGAGCGGGCTCCTGCTCGGCCATCACCGCCTCTCGTCTCCACAGCAGGCTGCTGATGCTGAAGGAGGAAGACTTGTGGAAGAGTCGCTTCGGAGCTTTCAAGTCCTCCATCTCTCCCACCCGTGGAGCCGTGTCTCTGTCCTGCGGGGCTTGGGGAGCGCGTGACTGAGCGCGCACGGCAGGGATGCGCTGATCCAAAGTGGTGACGAGCCGAGGACGCACTGACCAAAGAGCGCGCCAGCAATTGCGCATGATCACAGCAGCTCGGGCCTCCGAAGCGCCTCTAGATCTCTGCAAACGGGTCATCTGACGCGCAATTTGTAGCCATTTAAAGCAGAACAAACCTGTGCGCGTAAATTACTTGTTTATGAAGAGTTTCAGCATCAGTTTCAAATTGTTGCAACGGAAAACCCGCGCTGAAGAAGACGCTCAAACCTGCAGGAAAACAAGGCTGCTGTCAGTCTGCATGACTGATCAGTGAACTCTTCGGGTGCAATTATAACGCATTCGAAACCCAAGCTGCCCTTAAAGGTGCTGCTTTCCCCCCCGGGCTGGCCTCACCTTCCTCTCATTTGTCTTCTACCTCTCATCTGCGCACCATTAATCTAAACATCAAGGATTAATGTGCAAACTGTCAAAAAAAAAACATTCTGTACGAGTTACACTTTGCGCGCAGTGTCACCATAAACAAATAAAATACAATGTAGTGATTTTATGGCGCATCACTGACAAGACAGGAAACAAAAAGGCCCCGGAGCTGGAAGCATGCAGGCCTTTGCGCGCAAAAAAAACGATTTGCGGACATCTACATTGGATTAGCCCATCATTATTATAAATCTAGTGATTTTTGTTTGTGCTGAAACATGAATAAATAAAACTCGTTTGTTTTCAAACACACGCGGAGCTTTTTCAAACCCTAGAATGACGCGCAAAATGAGAAAAACAGCAAAAACACTTTTCAATAGATATTTTTTTCAAAACATCTCAAGGATTTTTCTTTTCTTTTCAAAGGCTAAAAATGAAAACCAAAAAAAGACCAAAACAAATACAATCGTAACTTCTTTGCAGCAAAGCTCAAGCATTAAATTCAAAGACTAGAAAACTACAGTAAATTATATTTATAAAGCCATGGTTTAACTGGGACTCTTTACAAATAAATTGTACTTCATTCTACTTGATGGCAGAAATAAAGCATTAATTTATATTTTCACTTCAAGGTTTTCATGCAGAATTTTAGGATCTTCACTTTCCCATTTTTACTTTTCACAGTAAATATAAATTCCAGTCAATTTTTGACTCTCTGTAAAGAAATTCACAGGTTTGTTTTTAGTCAAGATGCAGATTTATTTATTCATTATTTAATTATTCACATCCACCGTTTTAGCTGTTCACAGCCAGATGTCAGAAATGACGTAACTACACATATAATTTTCTCCTGCCTCCTGTCATTGATACGGGGCCTCTGTGTGCAGCACAAGTGAGCACTTGTTGGGAATGCTTTTGGCACTGCGCAAAGAAGGCAGGAGCTTCGGAGTTTGTAATCCTCTTGGATGCATAAAAAAACCCAACATAATTTAATTACAAGTCCTTTTTTGTTGTTGAATGGTTAGAGGAACAATGGGGTTCCTGCAACAACATCATCAGACTGTTGGTGATCCAGAGAAAACTGAAATAGTTCAGAATTTGTGTGCGTTCTATAAAAATCATGATCAGTATCTTACCTGCTGTAGACAGCGCCTCAATTCGGAGAAATTCACTTTAATTCTGACTGAATTGACAACAGCTGAGCAGAGCTGTTCTGTTCCAAAAACAATCCCAATCTCATAATTTTTCAAACAGTGCAAACATTAGTTTAGCTTCAAACTGTTATTTACACAATTTACTATTTAGGGCTGCCACCGAAATGGGGCCAGGGAGCCACCTCAAAAATAAATAGATAAATAAATAAATAAATAAATAAAAGAGGCCCCCCCACCCCCGTTTTGCCCCCTCCTGGTCAAAGAGTTTCAATCTCTTGAGCAGAAGTCTTCAGCCCTGTTCGTCTTGACCCACCGTCCTGAATGCTTTAACTGCTTCCCTGCTTCAGCACTCCTGATTCAAATAATTAAAACAGCTCAGAATAAGTTTTTTCAGAAGCCTGTCAATCACTCATTAATCCAGTCAGACTCAGGTGTGTTGAAGCAGGTAAACAGCTAAAAACATGCAGCACAGTGCAGGAACAGCGTTGAAAACCTCTGAGAGTCACAAGGTTTTGCTTTGTGTGCATCTTTGTTTTCCCCAAGGTGATTAGTGGAACCTCATACCCATTAAAAAAATCAAACATTGTTTTTTAGCATTCAAAAGCTGAAAATATAAATATGCATTTTTAAAGTTATAAATAAAATGAAACATAAAATTTAGTTCTCCTGGAAAAACAATCTAGTGTCCCAGGATGCATGGGTCTCAGAAGGTTATATGTTTTTTTTTTATAAATATAAACTCAGGAGAGAACAAGCTTCAATAAGCTGTGTGAGTCTTTTTCTTAATAAATCATTTTAACTAAATAAAAATTAAAGTAGTACAATGCATATCGGAATGTGATTCTCTAATTMCTTTATTGCTGTATTTTTAAAATAACCTACGTGACAACAACATAACAAATTTCCTGGAGTTTTATGCTTGGTGCCAGCCCACAACTTTCAGTGGTCCATACACAGCTCCCCTGTTAAACAATGTCTGGAGGCGCCACCGTTATTTGTGTCTCGCTACCCATGTAGCTTCTTATTCTGCAGAAATATCCTTACGTTTCTGTCAGATTAACAGTAATGTAGAACTGACTAAAGTAGTGATTCCAAAAGTTAGAGTCAGGACTTTAATATGGGTCCTGAAACAATGAGTTGGGGTCTTGAAAACATTTTTTTTAAATACTTGCAAAATAATTCTATTTAAAAAGAACTAACATTACTTTTTCCTCAGTTGTTACAATGCGTGTGGTTAATATACATAACAATTTATAAAAGTAGCATAATGAATATTGTTGCTTTGACACGATACTGTATAAAGGTTTATCACCCCAAAATAAATGGGAGCACAKGTCTCTGCTGGTATCTGTGGGTCAAAAGCTGAAAGGTTTGGGAATTACATAAGTGCTTTCAAATTTGTGTTGATTTGGGCCTTATTTTGTTTGCTCATCAATTTAGTAAGAATGAATTATTTCTCTTAAATGAGATGGTTTAGAAATGAAAACAAATAACTTTTCAAACGAACCCCACTTTTCAAAACTAATCAGTTGATTTAAGGAGGTAGTTTATAGGGTTTCTAAACTACAAAAAAACCCCTCTTAATTGCACAGAACATAGTTTTTATTCGAAAGAAATTCAAAACAACATCAGAACACAAAATTATATTCACAAGTCTTTAATTTATATACAAAAAGTTTCCGTTACATAAAAGAGGCTCATATTGTAAACAGATTCTAAGATGAAAATCAAGTAACAAAACACATTTAATGTCAGTTACTTTAGATTCAATGTAGAATTTTCCTGCTTTAGTTCACAGTTTACTGCAGACGTGTAGAACTTGTTGGGCTCTTCCTGTGTTTTGTCTCCCTCTGTTGACACAGAGCCATCATGCTGGAGTCAAACTCTCCAGGAAATCCAAGTTGACATAATAAAAGGCAATAAATTGGTTTGTTAGTAGGGGTGCAACAATAAATGTACCCATTTCGAACCATATCGAACAGAGCTTTAAGTTCAATACACACTTGTATCGAACAATACAGATTTTTAAAATTTACTTTATCAGCTTGTCTTCTGAAGATGCTCTGTGTTGAAGGATCAGTGGATCTGTGTTCGACTACTCCACCAAGGCTGCATTTTTGAGCACAGATCCACTGAGAAACTTGCTGTTTCAGCAACATTTAATTTAAAAACTGTACTTTTGAGGTTAAATAAATGTTCATAGTTAATTTAAATAAATTACAAGTTAAAAGGGACATGGAAATTTCTCTTTTTTGTATGGAAAAATATCGAACCGTGAGACTTAAGTATCGAATCGAACCGAATCGTGAATTTTCTGTATCGTTGCACCCTTGATTGTTAGTGTTTAATTTAGGAGTTTCTTCATCACACACCCACATTGTTCAGTAAAAACATGGTGAAGGCTGCAGCTGATTGTAAAGTAAGTCTCTCATCATTGAGCTTTACGTTGTGCTCCTCAGCTGTGGCAGTGCAGCGTAAAGGTTTTCTCCCGGGCATATCGTGTTTCCTAAATCTCGGTGTCCAAACAGGACAAACTGTGGTTGTAAAAAGCCTAGGGAAACTCCAGAGATCAGCAGCTGTTTGACTGATTGTAGTGCATCTTTGCTTGGCGTGTCATCTGAAATATAACAAAAAGAAATCAGTCAAACCTCTCCTGTTTCATTCTGAGGCTAATACAAGTTAATGTAACCTGACAAAAAAAGTGCTCACTGGTATAATTTCCCATGAAGGCAATGCCCAGGGTGTCACGATTGTGACCTTTGGTATGAGCTCCCACCACACCCCAGCCACGTCCCTCAAACACAAGGCCGTCTCCACCAACAAGAAAACTGAAATAATGATCACAAAGGAACACGTTTACAAAAACAACTCAAAAACATATAGTCTGAGCAATTGAAACAAAACAGATGCTCACTTATAACCAATGTCATCAAAGTCTCTGTCATTCATGTGGAACCTCTGGATGTGGAGAACTCCTTCCTTACACTCTGCCAGACCTCTGCAGCTTTGGAAGGCAGTGTGGTGGATCACAACCCTCTGAGCCGGGCCTCTCAGGGTCTCCTTTTGTTTAGGAGGGGCCGCTCCCCACTGCTCTCTGGAAACTATGTTCACTGAAAAGCAGACAAAGGAAAAAAAAAACACTTGTTGAAGCACAAGTTGTTCTTATAGAATAAAAAAAGCCTAAATGATAGTGTCCTACCTGTCTGCTTCATGAGGGCACTCAGCTGCTGCTGCTTGTGGAGACTGCACTGCTGCAGACTGAGCACCTCCCTTATCAGAATGAGTTCAGGAGGGAGTGGTTGTGGAAAGTACACCTTCCGTGTTCTTTATCGTTTGTGCGTGTGTGTTCATGAAAACAAGTTATTTTCCGACTGGTCGGGCTGGCTTGTGTTGCCCAATCAGCTGTTAGGAATATACATGCTTGAAAAAATAAGGAAGTGGAACTGAGTCTTTCTATGTGCGCACAGGGTTTGAAAAACTGGAGCAGGTTWTTTTTTCTTTACCACAGATCAGGCATGACTTTGTCACAGGGGATGAATGTAGGCTTGTGGGTAAATTATATGATTACAAAACTACACAACAAAATCTATCCCTAACAACAAAACAGCAACAAATCTGTCTCACTGTAATTTAGAAAATAAAACCAATTTGGACTTTTGTAGCAACACACTTGAAAACTTAAAACCATAACTAGGGCTGCCAGAAACAATTATTTTTATAATCGATTAATCACCGATCATTTTGTCGATTAGTCGACTAATTGGATCATATGTTAATTGAATATAAAACATACAGCTTATCACGCCAGAATGCAGCTGCTATTATATAACCATCGTTAGATTTTAGCTATATGCTAACTAAAAATAATTGCTGTGGAAGGCAAGTTCTGCTCTGCAGATATTGTTCAGGTTTCTCTTTCATTTTCTTAAAATGATCCCACACTTTTGAGCTCCGTTGCTGGGTAGCCATGATACCAGAGCCTGTCTGTATAATGTCTTGTGACGTCCACGGCCTACCCCAGTTACCACTACTGTGCATGTGTGTCAAGGACAGAAAGGCAGATGTGGCAGTGGAAGGTGTCAAARCAGTTTGGAGAGAAAAACAAAGTAAAGAACAAAAAAAAAAAGAAAAAGAAAACGATTAATCGATTATTAAATTAGTCATCGATTACCCATAACCCTCAGGTGGGAGAGGAATGAGATTAATCTGTGATCTTTAGCTCCACCCACTCCAGAATTGATAAAGCCCCCAGAATAAGAATCAACACGTCTCCAACTACAGAATTGAAGAACATGGAGGGACTTACCAAGTTTTGGATAAAAGAGAATCCATAACGTCCAGATGTCTCAGTGGTCCTTTACGTTGGAATCATTGGGTATTTACAGTGCCTGTGACATCATTTTTTTGTATTAAACATGAATGTATTTTTGGAAAGATAACATTGATAAAATATTGCAAAACAAATTTCACGCTGCTGAGATGAACAGTTGTTGAGATTTTTGCATGTGAAGAAACAGGAAGTGAWGTCAAAGGGGAATGTCTGCATGTAAACAGAGCGTTGTTACAACAGCTAACAACAGAGACTGTTTCTCTAGATTATTTTGAATTTCTATCAAAGAGAGATGAAGAGTCAAAGTTTAAATTATGTTGTTTTAATAACCAAAGACCAGAGAGTTAATTTTATTAAAGAGTTCCCCTTTGAAGAAAATATGCCAGTTATGAGACAAAATGTGTAAAATCATGTGTATTATGCATATTTTTTAAGAATCAAGATGTTTTCTTTGATTTTTTGTATTTGAAGGATAAGCGTGACCCACATGTTGTGAAAGTATAGCCCAAAACTGAGCACACCATTGGATGATTGATGTGTTTGTACCAGTTATTAAACAAACCCATGGCATCTGCTTCTGCCAGTCAGATACCAATAATAAACTCTTTTCAACGCCTCATCTCAACGACTGACATGGACTGAACTACAAGTTTACCGTCTMCTGTGTTGGTTGTCATTTCCACCTGAGCGTGAACGTTTGTGTCTGCAGCGGTGCCACCAACGTCAGAAATGAATCTCATTTCTGTAGAACCACAGTTCAGTTATYACAGCTGCAACCGTTCAAGTAAAAACAAAATATAAATACATAGCCTACAATTGTCTGAAAAAAGATGTTATAAGATGAGGTCATGTTATGAGATGTTGCACATTTGAGTATATCACCATTAAAATCAAATGCAGATTGAATAAATGGAGTAAAGCGACAGATGACCTAAAACCAGGTTTTAGAAATGAGTTACAGAGTTTGATGGTAGGAACAACCTGTAGCCCATTGTCCAGGACTCCATCCACCTTTGACAGCATCCTCCTCTTTGATGCTGCCTTCAGAGCCCAGCTCCACTCCCACATCACCACCAATTGCAAATCAGTTTGTGGAGTGTGTTTGCGTCTGTTCCTGTGGCGGTGCCAGGTGGAAAAGACCAMCCCTGCCACTCTTGTGGACAGACCTGGGTTGCCTCTGGCATGGTGGGGTGGKAAGCCAGACCGGGCTCACATGGGATCAATGGTGGTTCGTTTGATTTCCACCTCTTTAAGTACTTACCTTTAAATGTTGTTTGTGCAGACCACAACTAATAGAAAAAAAAAACAACAAGATGGATAGAAAACAGGGAGGTGACACTGAAGTTCAGGAAAGCTTTCTTAAATGTAAGATTAAGGCAGGTGAAAGATGAGAGTGTGACGTCTGAACGAGTCAGAGCTGCGGTATGAGGTGCCTTTCTACTGTGGCGTATGAAGGGCGTATCTACAGGTTAAGCCCGGTTTTTCCCAAGTCATTCCTTTATTCTAGTTCATCAGTGAGATTTGGTTTGTAACGATACAAATATTTACAGATTTGTCAGTGGAATCTTTCTCCATTCCTGCTGAATTCAAGGTTTGAGCTGTTTAGCAGTTCACGGTAATGCTGACTTTCTTTATGAGCCACGTTAACTCTTTAAGAAGGAGTTCTTGTTTTGCCGAAACAACCAGCAGTGCTAAAGACCCTGTCACTATGACGTTTTAGACAACTTATGCCAACTTATGAAAATTTTAGACATCTATGTTGAAGATGGAATTCAAAAAATCAACAGGAAGCTTATTTTTGGCGTGTACACACTGTAATGCTAACAAATTGATCAAATATATCACTTTTATTAGCAATTTAGACAAAAAATATTTCATAAGTTGGTATAAGTTGTCTAGTGTGACAGGGCCTTAACGTATGGTGTCCTTGATTTGAACAGTTAAGTTACATTTTTTTGATAACAGGCTTGGATTTTAAGGTACAGTGTAAAAATAATTCTGCATACAGGTAAAATGATATATTGGCCTGTCACTGTGGCTGCACCTTGACTACAGGCATGCTGTCTTTGTTTTTTGTTTACATCTTCCAGCTTTCTATAAGTTCGTTGCTGGCTTAATGTGTTAAATACTGATACTACAAACCATATCAGTAAAAAACACTGTAAAAAATTTAAACAGTATCAAATAGCAGATTATTCTATTTTTATCTTTAAAATGATCATGTTCACTTTATTGGTTTAGCCCTCAGCAAAGACTTGAAATCACTTTTTTAAAATCGGGAGTATGGAAATAAGCGTTTAAACCTATATCATTAACACAATTTCAGTTTCTGAGAAAAAAAAGAGCTGATGAAATTTTGTGATTGTTTCAACGTCTGTTCAGTTAAACCTGTCTTAAGGTCAGTTTGTGGTGTTTTGGCAGCACATCGAGTTGGGTGAAATATTTAGTTTTTTTTGTTTCTGGTACAAAATGGCACACATCTAACCACAGAATTGGAAATACAGTCTTGAACTAGACATGGGTTTTTATCATGTAAAAACAAGTGTGCATTGCCTTGTAGCATGTCATTGCAGCATGGCTTTGCCTGCAGCACTGGACTTGCAGAATGAACTTTGACCAAGTTCAAATGTGTTTTTGCTTGTGCCTGTCACATCAGCAGGTGTTTGTAATTAAGGTAAATGTGTGACAATTTGAAGTTTGAAGAGATTTTTTGTTAAACTTGCATTAGCTGGGTTTTGAACCCTGATCTCCCACACAAAAGACCATGACATAGACTACTAGACTGTTGGAGCTGTGGCAGGGTGTGGTGCCAGGGGTTGGTTTCTATGTGTGCAGAAAGAAGCCACATTGCCAATACAATTATTGACACTAAACTGCATAATATTACAACAATAGAGCAATATTAAGACAATGATATAGTAAAACATCAAAATACAATCATATTAATATTGTAAATACTGAACTATTGAGATGAAATATAAAAAAAAAACTATGGTGCAGTACCAAGTTGAGTACAGCTGGGGGCAGTATTGGACCATTACAAGACCCCATTGACTCATTATATGAATTTGGAAAAAAGTTTAAACATTAATATTTCAAAAACTACAAGTTGTACAGGTACCAAAAGGCATAGCAATCATTTGGCACAGGACCTTTTCAGATAGAAATTACAATGACAGCTGTAGGACAAAGCATGTAGGAGGAGAAGCATGCCAAAGTGGAGATGACTTGGATGGGAAACGAATCACAATAGTGTGCATTGCATTGGCAATGTATGCTGACTAGACATTGGTTTTTACGATGTAAAAACAACTTTGCATTGCCATGTAGCATGTCTTTGCAGCATGGCTTTGCCTGCAGCAGTGGACTTGCAGAATGAACTGTGACCAAATTCTAATAAGTTTTCTATACCAGCTTGTGCCTGTCAAGTCAGCAGGTGTTTATAATTAAGGTAATTTTGTAACAATACGAAGTTTGAAGAGATTTTTTGTTAAAGTTGTTTTAGCTGGGTTTCAACCTGTGATCTTCTACATGAAAGTTCATGGCACTAACCATGAGACTATTGGAGCTGTGGCAGAGGGCAATGTCAGGTGTTGGTTTGTATGTGTGCAGAAAGAGGCCACATTGCCAATGTGATTGTTGACATCAAACTGCAATATATTACAGCAATAGAGCAATATTAGGACAATATTATAGTAAAACATCAAAATACAATCATATTAGTATTGTAACCACTGAACTATTGAGATGAAATATTATTAAACTATGGTTCAGTACTGAGTAGATACAGCAGGGGGCAGTATTGGACCAATACAAGGCTCCACTGACTCTCATTATAAATTATTAAACATTAATTTTTCAAAAACTATAAGTCGTACAGGCACCAAAAGGCATAGCCATCATTTGGCACAGGAGCTTTACAGATATAAATTACAATGGCAGCTCTAGGACAAAGTATGCAGGAGGAGAAGCGTGCCAAAGTGGAGATGCCTTGGATGGGAAACGAATCAAAATAGTGTGCATTGCCAATGCAATGCACACTGACTAGACATAGGTTTTTACGATGCAAAAACAAGTGTGCATTGCAGCATGGCTTTGCCTGCAGCATTGGTCTTGCAGAATGAAGTGTGACCAAGTTCAAATGTATTTTCTAATTATTATCAGTCAAACACCTGCCAAGTCAGAAGGTGTTTGTAATTAGGGTAATTGTGTGACAATATAACAAATTGAAATTATGTAGTTTTACTGAAGCAGTTTGTTCATAGCTGGGATTGAACCCTGATCTCCTGAATGAAATCCCACAGTGTTAACCATGAGACAATAGGAGCTATGGTAGAGGACAATCCCAGGGCTTGGATTGTATGTATGCAGAAAGAGTTTACCTTGCCAATACAATTATTGACACTAAACAGCATATTACAAAAATAGAACAGTATTAAGACAATATTATAGTAAAACATCAAAACACAATCATATTAGTACTGCAAACACTGAACTACTGAGATGAAATATTAAACTATGGTGCAGTGGTCCAAGTTGAGTATAGCAGGGGGCAGTATTGGACCAATAAAAGGCTCCATTGACTGTCATTATGATTCATTAAACATTAATATTTCATAAACTATAAGTTTTACAGGCACCAAAAGGCATAGCCATCATTTGGCACAGGAGCTTTACAGATATAAATTACAATGGCAGCTCTAGGACAAAGTATGCAGGAGGAGAAGTATGTCAAAGTTGAGATGACTTAGATGGGAAACAAATCACAATAGTGATTACAATGGCAGCTCTAGGACAAAGTATGCAGGAGGAGAAGTATGTCAAAGTTGAGATGACTTAGATGGGAAACAAATCACAATAGTGATTACAATGGCAGCTCTAGGACAAAGTATGCAGGAGGAGAAGTATGTCAAAGTTGAGATGACTTAGATGGGAAACAAATCACAATAGTGATTACAATGGCAGCTCTAGGA